CAGCCGGTATTCACTCCTCTAGATCAGAGCGAGGAGATAAGATAACCGGGCAACCATGCACACGGCCTGTAAACCCAGTGGGAGCGCAAGCGCATACACCGACAGGTAATCTGATCCAAGAAGACTGCCAGCGCGCACCAGGCCGCAGGGACCATGGTTTGCTGAAGCATGGCGTTGCATACACACAATCCTTAAATCTCAAATGTTCACATATAGGTAAGGAGAAAGACAGAACATGAGTCAAACTCGGTCAATTGGAGAGGCTAATCAACGGTCATTTGATAATGCAAACGAGTATTAAGCCTACCTCAGACCAGTACAACTCAGCAACACGAATATCAGACTAGCATATTTTCCTTTTCGTCAACAATGGATTATGTCTCTGATGACGAATCCGCGACGGATCTCGAAACGTCAGGCGAATATAAGCATTGTCCCAGCGATCGAATCGTCTTCTTCCCAGCTTACATCCTTCCCAAGGCTTTTGGATAATTTATGCAACAAATGCAGCCCATTTGTCTCCGTTGGTGGGCGCCATGCTGTCTTTTACGGTCTACGTGCGGCTAATCCTACCATCAGAAAAGCGGGCTATTCAGTAGAGAGACGGGAGGGTGCGGGAATTCAGGATGAAGCGAAGCATAAGAGAGGCGTTAATCTCGTAGTAAAAGGTAGGATGAGGGGTAATGCTGTGGTTACCCATTTTATTTTTATCCAGATCTTAATCGGAGGACGCTGAAGGGGCAGCTTAACATTGGAATGAGAATACTGTGAAGCCGGTCCCTCGGACCAGTGAAATTAGAGTAAACTCATTTGTACTCATCAGAGGCCACCAAAACGCAATACTTTTATTTTTTATCCGCAGCAGTATCAACCAGAATATAACTGCCACCCCAAGAGGAAACAATGGTCAGCTAATCGCGGTAACACAACAGCTTTTTGGAAGAAATCTTGACTTAAATAATTTGCACCCAAATTTCTACGATGCCAGGCTGTGATAGTCTAAGTCAAAAGGTTCATGAGGTAAAATTCTCGATCCCTTGAGGTGTGCCATATGCAAAAACCTCAGACATTATTGGGGATCTTCTTTTTAGAATAGACGAAGAACATGTTAGCGGGGAAAAGAGTGACCATTGGGTCTTTGGCAGCTACGAAAGCAAAAGTATCCTTTTATTGAAGATCCATTTGGATCATAATTCCCGCATCATAATGTGATACAGTGCTGACAAAAGTTCATCCGATAAGGTAGATATTCTTATTTTGTATTCCACGACGAATAGTACTTTTCCAAATACGCCTTATTTGCATTCGGCAATCTACTCCGAATGAATGAGCATGACAACCCAGACCGTTATATTACTTCATCTATAAATTGGTCTGTCGCAAACAACCAGGAAAACCATTCTCTGGAAGAGGTTATGGTGGTGATATGTGCGTGCAGGATCTACACAGAAGCTATTTCGTTACCAATTTCCACGCGTTCCACGATCCTGTGATAGGAAAAGGCGTGAACTTAGTACCTTGACTAAGTCTCGACTCTTGTGTGCAGTACACGTGATGATCTCAACGCCACACGATTCATCAGTCTGAAGTATGGTAATTTCAGAGATCACATAAGAAAGAGCACAAAGTAAGTTAAATAAAGCAGAGGTTGCAGCCTGACCCTCAGAACTGAGTAGAACTAAGTTATATTGCCAGTTGTCAACCTTCCAAGAAGCAACTGTTGACATGCTATGGTGGTATAAAAAGGCATCTGGTTTATTTGAAGTTATAAACCCAATTTTAAATGATAAAAACTCCTCTCTCTACCTTCATGCGCCATGCAATTCAAACAGATTGGACGGAGTGTGGCCTGAATCGTCCAGTGCTAACTTGCTCAATACCAAGGCTCAAACGTAGAAAAGACTGAAAAGCACAAGGGATTTCCCTATTCATAATTGCATACTTACCCAGAATCTCCCGCTCCTGCGTGACTGTATCGAGAAACATGTCTTCCCAGAATTGCATATTTGACCAGAGTTTAGACTCAGTTGAGTTCAGCATTGCCTCCTCGAAGAGGTATGTCCACCCGACGGAAGGCTTCGAACTTTTTGAAACTAAACCTATCACTGCCGAAGGGTTTGAGCCCTCCGAATTTCCGCTCAAGGGCTTGACCGCTGCGTCCGGATTACCGTCGCTAGGGGTTTTTGCGCGAATGCTACCGGAGATATTCGAACGCAGAGCAGGAATCGATACATGGGGAGGAATTTCGCCCGTGACTTTTTTCGGCTCAGCAGCTGTTTGCAGGAGTCGCCCTTTGTAGTATCTGGATGGAGAAAAAAATGACATAATGGCGGCGAGTAAAAAAGAAAAACGAAGCCCCGAATAATTGCAGATTGATCAGCTACGGCTAAAATTGTGCAACTACTTCGGTTAGACAGAAAAAAATACCGCAACAGAATATTTATTTTAATGCAAATGGATAAAAACTTGGGGATGTAGAAAAGAATTTCATAGCATGACGGGATTTTGCTTCTTATCAAAGTTAGATTGCAACGATGCACTTTTAATTGTAGGTTGATGCATGAAAAAAAGGTTTTGATTACGTTGTCGTTTACACATTTGCCGCTTCAACACAGGACACAGGAACATGAACTGTCCGCAATACGTGTGACTTGGCGCTACGGTTTGCGTTTAGCTCTAAAGTACAGCTAGGGTTAGGATAAAGGCACGGGAAACGTCAGTCTTCCTGTAATTTATCGCAATGCTACCTTTTATCAAGTGGGAGGGGCTTCCTATTCCCGTGTCTTCGCGTTAGGCGACCGTACAAGTCACCCTCACCAGATCATTTGTGAGTGCGACGAGCGCATAATCAAAAAGGACGAAAGTCACTCACCGAAAACCAAATGAGCGGCTACTCTTGAAAGGTGGGAAGAGAACAATGTCCTCTACCATCTTCATTGAAATGCCCTCTGGCATCTCCAAGGAAGCCGCTTGATGCACATCGGTAGGTGGACTGGGGGTGGACAAATTTTTCTTTGTAGCGCACGAATCCGGTCCTCCAACCTCGGAACCGGAACCGATAACGGACTTCCGAAGATGAATTCTTTTACGTAACAAGGTAGGCGAGTGCGTACGAGAGGAGCCTAGTTGTTGTACAGTGAACAAAAGGAAATGTAAGCAAGATGGACAAAGAAAACAAATCATATCTGGGCACGTTGAATGCATGAATTCGGCTGTGATTTAAGTGTGGAAAAGACCACATAGGGTGAAGTAGGGAGAGTAAACAGACGGAATTCCAGGGAGACAGAAAACAGGCAATTTAAACACGGATCACTGATCACAGATTAAAGTAAAACACCCTGTCTGAACTTGCAGGATGCGTTTAATCAAGGCTACGGGTGGAATGAAGCTCTGCTCTACAAATGATGAAGTCTATGAATTACAAATAAATACCTGCTCATGCCAGACTGTATTGTGCACGGTGAAGACGACGAATGCAATGGGTTGACCGCACAATTTTGGAAAAAACAATTAACAAGTCTAAAGTGTAACAATGAAGAAAGGATGGCCCAAGGTGTGTGTCTAAATTGTCAATAGTCTACCCGGCAGAGAAGACGAAGAGGGGAAATTAAATGTTAAAACAAGTAGAGCGCGTCGAGTCAAAGCAGTAGGTGCAAATATGCACGCAAACAGAAGAACAGTGAGTATTCAATCATTATAGTGCATGCAAATACTGGAGAGAGAGAGAGAGAGAGAGAAAGAGCCACGTTGAGGGTGAGTGGTCACGGAACGAAACGAAACGTGACAACAGTGATAGGTGTCCTATGAAACACACTAATGCGAAGAGACAGCGGGTAGGCATGCAGATGTGTTCACGGCTGAGAAACCTCGTGCAGTAGTTACTGACCATGAGGATTGGCCCGAGCAAGAGCTAACGCATACATATTGCACCCGCCAAGGTATTCAAAGCCTTCATTTGGTGAATGTGTGGCAGGTGAGGTCTGAAGGGAGCAGACGGAACGGTGGGTTTGCGATCGGGATGAATAGACCCTGCGTACGCTAGCATTGCTGTACTGGGAGAGACGGCGAGTGGTGCCTGGAGAGAGGTATGCTCTCTCAGACATTTGACCCAGGTGTGTATTCTTAAAGGCTTCAGAGAGACGAGCCTGTAACTTCTGTGACAGTTCCACAAGGTCAGGCAGATCACGAGATTGAAAACGAAGAGAAGGGACGCGATTCCATACACGCCATTCGGAGGATTTAAAATACGTGCCGTTGGCCCTCACAGTCCCTCGACCGGAGGCTAGAATTATAACGCCAAGAAAGGTTTAGAGATGCCGTTATTAGGGCCTTGCTGGCAGTAGAGGTAGGAATAACTTCGACTATGGTTATTACAAAGGAGGGAGAAAGAGAAGAAGCAGGAAGACAAGTAGAGAAGAGGACGCAATTGAGAGTAGACATTATACGACCAATTCAGTCATCAACCAAAGAAGCTTAGCGCCACACTTACGATTATGTCTTTTACTTTGTTCCCCGCCGGAAGCCTCAGATTCCGGCTAAAATGGAAAATAGAAACAGAAAAGGGAATGCTTTGGACAAGTAACTACAGCAATAAGCCCTAATTAGTACCTGGGGATGAGGCGTATGCATGTATCACTGAATGCCGTTTCAGCTACTACTAATACAGCGAGGTCTAATGAATTGATTAAGCAGGGGGTGTGTAAATAAGGCCTCCTAAAAGGTACAGTTCTATAACACTAAACTAAACGACAAGATAAGCGCATGAAAAACGCTATACGGAGATTGTTGTGCTCCATCTCAGCTTGATCTAGAACCGAAAAAGATACGAGTACAGCATGAGCAAGGGGGTGTGGCCTCTTCCCTTTTGAACTTTCGTCCTACAACGTGCCCTTAAGTGCATTAAAAGAAGTATGTAGAGAAAACACGACATTTTTCCTTTTCAGCTGTTTAAGAAACGCCATGTTTCGGCTCTGAGTAGACCCTTAGTACTCAAGTCTGCAAAAGAATTCCGTGATTAGAACCATAGATAATTTTTGTTGCCCTGAATGTGTTTCTTTGTTCGCTGACGCTTCGGACAGCTGGGCCGGCTGTTCTTTGTCGAAGCGTAAGCTGACTTTATCGATCAGTAATTCAAAAATGTGTCTGTGTGTGTCATGGGTTGATTGTTTCTTCTACGAATTGAGGCAAAGGTTCGCAGCCCAGGTATGTGCATAGATTGGGAAGAAGCAGGCTCGACCACCGGAATCGGAGTTTTATTTGTCTGAGCTTTCGAACTCTTGCGGGAGTCC